ACAAGGCAAGCTCTTGACACTGTAGCCCCATCATGTCATTGCCTCCCAAGACCTTGCTTCCCAGAGGCTCCCTGCGCTGTCATGCCTTACGCCTTCACCCCTACACCGGGAGGCAGACACCGCCATTCCAGGAGGAGTCCTTCCGGCCCCAGCTCAACGGTGACCTCCCCTGTGACAGAGCAGTCACTTGGTCCTCTGGGCTTCCCCGGCACCTCAGGCCACGCCTCTCAGGGAACTGCTTCTGGGTCTGAATCCTCCTCCTCCAACTGTGACCCCTGGGAGTCAGAAGAGTTCTGGTCCACCCATCATTACCCAGCACCTGCCACATAGCACCGGGCGTCCAGACCCGAACAGATCTTGACCTTCTAGGAGCTTGCTGTCTAGAGGGAAGAGAACATGAACACAGCCACTCTCGAGAAAAGTGGTAAATACCATGAGAGAGTTGGGTGTGGGGTGCTAGGGCAGTCCTGACAAAGGGTAACTCACCCATCCAGGACAATGCCCAACCTGAATGCAGGAGGCCATGGAAGAAGCTTTTGGAACAATCAAGGAGGTTGCTCAGAAGGAAGGGCTTGCAGAGGGCCTGGCGTGCACAAAGGCACAGAGCCTGGCATTTCCAGGAGATACAAGGTTCCATCGTGTCAGAGATGTTTGAGCAGGAAGATAGTAATACAAGAGGCAGGAGGGGTGGAAACAGCCAGAGGTGATGAGCTTTAGAAACTGTCTCCATTAGGATGGTGTTTGGCTGCATGTAACAAAAAGGCAATGGCTTAGCCAAATTGGAGAGTAGTTTTTCTCGTATAATGGAGTCTGGGTACAGGTAGCTTAGGGCTGGCCCAGTTGCTAAGAAACTAAACTCCTTTTCCCTTCCCGCTCTGCCATCCTCATGACTGCAAGACAGCCTCTGTGCTTCTGAGCCACATATCCATCTTTTAAGCAGGAAAAAAGGAGGAAGGACAATGGTTAAAAGGTTTGTGCCAATAGAACCTGCCCTTTTGTTATTATTTTTAGTTATGTTAGAATACAGAGAACATAAAACTTGCAGTCTTAACCATTTTTAAGTGTATGGTGCAGTGGCGTTAAGTATATTCGCATTGTTTTGCATCCATCTCTAAACAGTAATGTTTAAGTTCAGTTTCATTTTGCAAAACTGAAACTGTACCCATTAAGCAACAACTCCCCATTTTCCCCTGCCCCCCGCAAACCCCTGGCAACCAGCATCCTAATTTCTATCTCTATGAAGTTGGCTATGCGAGGTTCCTTATATAAGTAGAATGATACACTTTTTGTCCTTTCGTGCTTGGCTTACTTCACTTAACATAGTGTCCTCAAGGTTCATCCGTGTTGTAGCACGTGTCAGAATTCCTTTTATTTTTAAGGCTGAGTAATATTCCATTGTATTTACAGACCACATTCGGTTCATCCATTTGTCTATGGATGGACACTGGGGTTGCTTTCACTTTTGGGTTATTGTGCGTCATAATGCTGTGAACATGAGTGTACAAATATCTTTCAGAGTCCCTGCTTTCAGTTCTTTGGGGGATGTACGTAGAGGTGGGATTGCTTGATTGCATGGTAGTTCTATTTTTAATCTTTTGAGGAGCCACCATACTGTTTTCCATAGTGCTGCATTATGTTACATTCCCTCCAGCAGTGCACAAGGGTCCAGCTTTTCCTCACCCTCACCAACATTTGCTGAGGGGCTTGGATTTGACCTTGAACTTGACCTCTAAAAGATTTTAAGCATCTTTGTATCTGGCCCTAATTTATCACAGCACCAGATATACAGCAAGTGCTCCATAAATGTCTGTTTAATGTTTCCCTGACTTCTTCCCTGACTTCCTTCTCCACACCCCACATATCCTTTAGGACCCACTGCGAGTCCTAAGTCCTCCGGGAAGCCCTCCCTCATGGTGCCGGCCCAGGGTCTTTGCCTTTGTTACTCATCCACAGGACTTTTTGTCTGGCCCTTCACACTGTGCCCTTGGGTATTTGTGGGGGTGAGGGAGGCACCCTGACTTGAATTCTTCTCATTGCTCCTTGGATCTGACTCCTCTGCCCCACCTGGATGCCAAGCTTCTTGATGATGAGGACTCTGTCCTTGACCTCACTCTTTCCCCAAGCCAGCCTGGGAGAATATTGAGTGCAACGTGGGCCCTTAATAAACAGATATTAAGTTTGTGCCAATTGAAGTCCCTTGTGATTGCCTAGTCAAAGACAAGCCCATGGAGTGATCTTCCGGCAGCAGAAATGACCCTGGATTTGAAACTAACGGTTCAAGCCTGGCTTCCCACTTCCACCTCGTTATGTCCAGCAAGACACTTAACTTACTACCTTAACTTCAAAGTGGCCCCAAACATCACTTCTGTGTATGTAAAATGTTCGCAGATTACAAGGTCCTCTTGCCTACACTGTCCTTTTTAATCCTGACAAGGACCCTGTGAAGTAGGTAGGGCAAGATTTATTTAATCTCTGTTTTTAAGATGAGAAAATGATTGCTCAGAGAGGTTAAGTGGTTTGCCCAAAATACCAAGCTGGGAAGTGCCAGAAAGGGCCCTCTAACTTCCTAGGCCCTGTAATCCCATCCCCGCCCCCCTCCCAGGGGGCGGGGCCACAAGGAGAAGTGAGACGCCGCCGGCAGGAACGTGCTTAGCAGACCCATGGTGTGCTTTGCTTTGTCAGCATCTACACAGATGGGGATGGTCCTCTTTGACCCATGGGAATGGGACGAGATGGAGATATGGTCAAAGAAAGAAGTTTGAGAGCCTGCTTTTCTCCGGTCACCTGTGGGTTCAGACAACTGGCGGGACAGGGAGGGTGTTCCCAGCAGCTCAGCAGGGACTTAGCCATCAGGGAGGGGTTTTGCCCCTGGCCTCTAGGGCAGGGACAGGTGGGGAGTCCTCTTCCCCCAGACGCCTGCCACTCACATGCCTACTTCACGGAAACCTGCAGTCTCTGTAACCACGGCTCCCCTACCTCTCTCCTTCCTTCTCCAGGGCTAAGCCCCCATCACACGCTCCCCCTACCTCCTCTTCCCCCTCTTGTTCTCTCCTTTCAAAAGCATAATGAGTTTGATAAGAAATTGTCTTGTTAACAGGATTAGCCACGGAAATCTCTTGTCCCCTCCCATTCATTCTGTAATGCTCCCGTCTCATGTTCTGTAATTTTCTGCTGGTATCAGGAGCTCCGGACCACCTCAGGGATATTAATTCCTATTTGTTCTTTGATCCCGTGACGGCTGATGTGCCAGGACACCCCACACAGCCGCTGGGCCACAGAGGCCTTGTGGGGAAATTACCCCGAGGCCCTCACTGGCTGTCTCCCTCCAGAGTCAGCCGCTTTCTGATTTTCTGCCGCTGTTACCCACCCCCTCCCACCCCCACTCCTACCTGCCTCAGCTGCCAGTTCTGGGGCAGCAACTACCTCGAACTTATGGGCCAAGGAGGCAGATCTGATGTTGGAGCTTACCTGGCAGAAGAATGGTAGATGAATGCCCCCCCACACATCTACTCCTTTCCTTCCCTTTCTACCCCTCCCCACATGCGCATCCCCCAGAAGACTCTAGAGAGGGAGAATGCAGAGGTAGTTTAGCACAGTGGATGAGAGTGTTGAACTTCCTGGGTCTGTGGCACAGACAACAACTTGGCCAACCCCTCTGAGCCTCAGTTTTCTCATCTGTACATTGGGGATGATCATGCTCATCTGTGGTAACGCACAGAGTATATAGTACCTGACACATAGTAGGAGCTCAATTCATGCTATTTTCCTACTCTGCTCTTTCGAGACAGGAGTTTACTGAGGGTGGGGTATGCAGTTCTCGGGATTTACCAAGAAATTCTTGTTCAGCTTTGAGTTATATCCCCAAACTCTTTCCTTGTGCTGATTCCCTCTGATCTCTGCCCTCCCAAAGTTCTTTCTCTTTACATGTTTTTAGGGACTTATGCAGAGGAATCTTTATGGCCCCTTCAACCCAAAATATTAATTAAAAGAAAGCTCAGCATATAGGGTGAATCCCAAGAAGGGGTAGCAGGAGAAGAAAGGAATTGCCTGTCCTATGCCCCTAAACCACGGTCAAGAACAGAGCAGAGAGGCATCCTGAGAAAGAGATCAAGTCCAGAATAGTCTTGACCAAGGGCAAGAGGGTCACGCTGGACAGAAACCCAGTCTCTGGATCAGTAGGAAATTTACAGGAAGAGACAGACACCCAGGGAGTGGAGCCTGGGGGAGGAAACCTACCCCGGGGGTAGGTAGGAGATTGCCCGAGTGGAAAGAGGGGAGACCGGAGCTAAATCTAGGTTAATTTGGAAACAGTTTGTGATCGATTGCACAGAAAGTGCCGGAGAGTGAGAGGTGGGAAATTGCACCTGTCTGGTGAATGAGCTCAGAATTCCAAGCGTGTGGGGAAGCTGGGGAGCTGGCGCCAATCTGGGCAAGGGGGAGGTGGCAGCGTGTGCCCAGGGAGCTGGTAGGGCCAGAGCTCTGCTGAGAGGACGTGGGCTGTAGCCGGGGCCAGCGTCACGCTCGGAACACATACACGCAAGGACACAGCCCTCACTGTGTGCCTGGCCAAGGGGGAAGCGTGTACCTACGTTTCTTGTTTCTCGTTTAATGTCATACCTCCCTGAAAGATGGCCATTGTCAACGGCTAATGTTAATTACAGACCTTGGGCTTCCAGGCCAGGCCCATGGAAATCCTTTGTGGGGATTTGCGGCCTCTGTCCTCGAGCAGCTGTGGAGTCACGCAACCTGGACACCAATCCCAATTATGTTGTTTTCTAGCAGTGTGACTTGGGCAAGTTTCTGCAACTCCATGAGCCCGCTTTCCTCATCTGTAAGATGGGGATGATATTGCTGCTCTCAGGATTAAACTGAGGCCATGCACATGAAGTATGTAGCCCTCTGGCTGGCACATAATGGAGATCCGTAAATGAGAGGTACATCCCTATCACCCTCCCCTTTTCATCCCGCATGCATTGCTGCCAAGGAAGACAAGCCACCGATGCATTTTTTAAATCAACAATACAAATAAGCATATGATGGAAGCCGGGTAAAGGGTACAGATATTACAGGTTTAGGGGAGGAAGAGATGACAGAGGGCTGGGTTGGGGAGGGGCGCCTCCCGGGAACATAGGATGTAATTAAGAGCCCAAAGGTGCTGAGATTGTACGGCTTTGGGGGAAAAAAATGAGTAGGCCAGTAGAGTTGGGGCAGAGCGCTTCTGTGTTCGTGTTCGCATCATTTCAATGAGACAAGACTTGCTTTGGGAGCTGATAAGACACAAATGTGGATGGGACTGGGACCATGTCTACCCTTCCTGATAAGTTCCCTGGCTGGCATCACTGGGGTGCCACCCAGCCATGTTGATTAGCCTGTAAATAAAAAAGGTAGATGTTCCAAAACAGCAGAATTGCCTCTGGAGCAATCTAGAACCACCAACACGAGTGGCCACTCCGAGCTCCCGAGTGGGTTGAAGTAGACGTTAGATGGAGCAATGAGAGCTATCGCTTATCGAACCATCGCTGTGCAGGCAGCAGCCAGGTGCTTTCATTCTTGCAACAACTCCAGCTCTGATTGGAACTATTATTAGAGGAGAGGAAATGAAATCAGGTTAGGTAAGTTGTGCAAGATCCCACAAAAGTCTGGCTGACTTCAGAGCCTAAGTACTTACCATGGAGGCAGAAAGGCTGAGGTTCATACACTCACTCCATTTATCATTCATTCATTCATTCATTCAACAAATATATTTTGAGCATCACCACTTGCAGGTGTTGTACACAAAACTGAGCCTGGAGCAGTGGACAGGGGGCAGCCCCTGCCCTCATGGAGGCCACGGTCTCACGAACATGCACTGGGCCAGGCCTGGGAGGCAGAGGTGGACAGACCTTCCAGCTGCTCTTGGCCCTCGGGGGCTCCGACCACTCATCATGGGAGCATCATCTCTGCAGCGTGTGGACCCTGGACCAGGCAGGCCTGGGGGTGGGAAAGTGGTGGATCTGGAGGCAGACGTAGGAAGGACGGAGGGATGGTCTCCCCTGCCATCTCAGCGCCATTAGAGCCACATCAGATGGCTTTGAGGGGCCATAGTGCCATGTCCCTTTTAGCCACACCCCCTTCTGGGACACTGTAAGACCAACTTTCTCATTCCCATTGTCACCAAACAGAGCCCCAAGGAAGGAATAGGACAAGAGGAGAAATGAGCTTCTGTGAGGCACCACCTCTGCCACAGATCATTGAGGCCTCTCAGTGACCCTATGGGGTAGGTGTCAACAGCACCACCTTCTAGACGAGTGGTGGAGGCTCAGTGGGCTCCTCTCCAGGCCACGCAGCTACTAAGTGGCAGAGCGGCTCTCCCGGCTGCGGTCCGATGCTCTACTGGTCGTGTATTTGCAGTATCCTGGCCCACGGGTACTGGGGGTTCAGAAGAGTGACACGCACTGTCTTTAAGGAACCTGCAGTCTATTGGGGATATAAGAATGATCCCACAGAACAGGTGGGAGCAATCCAAATGGGAAACTTGAGGCCCTGTCTGCAGAGGGGGAGAGGGTCTGCACTAGCTGGACTCTTCAAGGAGACTTCTAGAAGAAGGAGGGTTTGAGAAGGGCCTCGCTGGGTACAGGGGAGGTGGGAGGCAGTCCACGTGGGAAGGAACCGGTAGGAATGCCCATGGTACCAGGAAGTTATCATAGGAAAAGCATGGCTTTCGATTCTGGCAGCTCCGGCTTTGTGCTTTGGGGCAAATTGCTTTGAACCCTCTGATTCTCAGTTTCCTAGTCTATTAGAGGGGAAGGAAAAACCCTCAGCCTCAATAAACCTGCAGCAGGATGAAAGGAGGAGCTAAGGTATCTTATCGGGAAGTCCCCGGCACAATGCCTGGCTTCCATCCCGTTGTACTGAGCCTTTACCCCAGAGCGGGGGTGTGGGGGGGGGCGACGGCCAGGACCCACCCTGCCCTGCCCTCAACAGGCTTACAGTCTAGGGACAATGTCAGGTCTTTAGTGACTCAGTACAGCTGTGGCAAGTATGCAACGAAGAGGACAGGAGACAGAAGACTGGTGGGAGGGTCTTAGGGAGGAAGGGAGTGTGAGCTGAGCTCCGAGGGGTGGGTCAGTGGAAACTTTGGGAAAGAGGTGGCTAAGTGTCCGGAGTAGCAGCAAGGCTTGGAAAGAAGGCAGGAGCTGGGTACCGTGGAGGACAGAGGAAGGCTGGTGTGGCTGGAGTTGGGGCCAGGGCCAGACATGGAACTAAACAGGGCCAGTGGAAGGGTGGTGGGCTTTGGCTGCCCTGTTAAGGATTTTGGTCTTTATCTGAAGAAAAAGAGGAAGCTTACGAGATGGTTTTCAGTATGATCAGATGTCCATTTTAAGAGGATCTGTCTCTAGTGAGGGGAATAAATTAAATGAGACCACAATAGGTACGGACACCTAGTAGGTAGGCCTCTGATCCCTAGTAGGCTGTATATGGCACACACAGTATGCTGTGGGGACAGTCCGCTTCCGCAGGGAGTAAGGCCCTGGGGTCACAATGGATCTCCTACGCCTGATGCTTCAGAGCCACCCAGGGTAAAAGAAAACTCACAGCTACTCAGTGGCCCATGGGAGTTCGGGGTGCGGGTGGTCATTCAAGGGGAGGGACACAGGGGTGGGGGCCTTAAAGATGAGCGCTGGAGGGACGGTCACCATCCCTCCCCCTTCCCGAGGGCGGCAGCCTGGCTTTTGGGGTTCTGTCAAAGCAAGGCAGCCTTCCTGAATGGTAGTAACAGTTTTTTCTATGACACCATGAGCATCTGACACATGGCACAGGAGCTATGAAGCTCCCCCAGAGGGTACCATAAAAGTGTGGGCGGGGGCTCCGGGGGGAAGGTTGGAGGCCGGGCTCGGCCACGTGCAACAGGAGGAGGCCGGGGAAGAAAGAGGCTTATTTCAGCACCCTGTTATTATGGCATCTTGTTTTCATAGTTTGTTCAACAAACCTCTCTCCCTCTCCCTCTCCTCCCCTCGCCTCTCTTTTTTTCCATCTTCCTCTCTCAGCAAATCCATTTAAATGCAATTCTATTCTTAAAGCGCCCCTCTCATGCATGTCTAATGAATGTCAGGGAAATGCTATTACAATGGGGCCAAGGAGGATCCGATCGGCGGTGTGTGTACAAGTCATTTGAAAGGAAGCCTGGGAGCGCTCCAGTTTTATTACAGCATAATTAGAAATAAAATCGTGTTGCAATAGGAGAATGAGAGATGTGTGCTGATCCTGTGGTGGAGGAAGATAGAGCTGTATTTAGAGAAAAGGACTCAGGGAGAGAGAGAAAACTAGCCATTGCCCCTCTGTCCCGCTCCACCAAGGCTCTCCTGCTGGCTCCCCTCCCCAAGACGCTCCATCCTCACACCCCCTGTGACCCCAGCTCCCTGGGGGCCACTCCAGAGACAGTGCTTGACCCGCCCCCCACCTCCTAGATCTCAGCTGCCCAGAGTGGTCAGTCGGCAAGGTCCTGGTGAGCTGAGCCTGGTGCCTCCCTGGAAATTTACACTCTCTCACCTATAAGAGGCCAGTTGTGGGCAGTTGGGAGGCGGTGGGAAAGGTTGGCTTGGAGGCTGAGACTCAGATCAAGTTCAGAGTGCCCACCTTACAAGAGATATACATTCATTTATTCGTTCGATCATTCAGTCATTCAACAGCCACTAACCACTGCCTAACTGTGCCAGGTACTGTGCTGGGTGCATTCATTAACTTCTTTCATTCTCATAGGAAACAGGTTCAGAGTCTCATCCAGCATATTCCAGCTCGAGAGGGGAACATAGTTCAAACCCCACTTCTGACTCAAGACGGGCTTTTTCTACTCCATCATGCTATCAGCTTGCTGGGTCCTCCTGAGACACCTGTCTTCCCAGTAACCCCATCTCCTGTAGAGCCCCAAAGGCAGAGATAAAGATGGGGGATCTGGCTAATCCCTCCTACGGGGCAGAAATGGGCATTGCTCCCTAGTTCTGTGTCTTCTTCTCTGACCGCTCACCCTCTTATCTCAGAGGTGGCAGTGGTGCTGCTCCCCCAGGCCCCTGGGGACACACGCATTGTGCCACCCGCTCGGAGCCTGTCACGCTAATCCCCTGCCCAGCCTGACATCAGGCTTTGAAGATGAATGTGGGACCATGGTGTCTTCCTTGGAGCCCCTGTGCCAGACAGCAGGTGGTGGACCTGTCACCTGCCACAAGGAGGTTGTTAACTTGTGACCCCCTGTCAAGCTCTGGCTGCCTTCCCCTCCCTCTTCCAGCCAGCCGGGGCAGGGCAGGGTTTGTGGCTCTGCATGCCCCGTACAAGCTCTCATAGCAAAGGTCCCACCTCCCATCCATCCAGACTCCCTATGACCCAGATGTGTTCGCTCTGCCTGAATTCAGTTCCGTGGGGAAGAGCAGTGGGCCCGGAGACAGGAGGCCTCTCCCGACAGCTCCACTCTGACCCAGACTGGCTGCATGACCCTCTGTTTCCTCGAGTGTCCCATGCAGCGGTGTATCAGATTGAATGATTGATGGCGAGTGTGGACGAGGCCCTGTCTGTGATCAAAGGCCCATTCCCCGCACCGGTGCCCTGCCCACCTCGTCCCTCCCTCTGCTCTCGGTACCCGTGGGGGGGCGGGGTCCTCGGGATCAGCGTCTCCCCACCCTCACGCTCTCACTCTCTGAACCCCACCTCTGTGGTCCGCCTGGTGACCTTCAGGGCCAGCTCGCCACTGTCCTCCTCCCCATTCCTACCCTACAGCCCTCACCCCAGTGTCTTACGGAGCAGGACCTGACTCCAGAATCTTAACACTGGAAGGGTCCTCAGGCAACAGCATGGCAGGAGGAGGAGGAGATTCATTTTCTAGGGCTTCCATAACAAAGTACCAGAGCAGGTGGCTTAAACAACAGAAATGTGTTTCTCATAGTTCTGGATGCTGGAAGTCTAAGATCAAGGTTTAGTTTCTGCTGGGCCTTCTCTCCCTGGCTTGTAGGTGGCCGCCCTCTCACTGTGTCCTCACGTGGTCTTCCCTCTGTGCCTGTGTATCCCTGGTGTCTCTCCTTCTTATAAGAATTGTCATATTGGATTAGGGCCTCACCCTTATGACCTCATTTAACCTTAATTACCTCTTTAAAGGCTCAATCTCCCAATACAGTCCCACTGGGGGTTAAGGCTTCAACATATGAATTTTGTGGGGACACAAATCAGTCCACAACAGGGAGGATCTAGGGCTTAAAGCCAGCCAGACCAGAGCTGGGACTTGACTTCAAATTCCAGACTCACATGTCACTATGCTGCAACTCTCTCTCCGGGGCCTCGGTGGAGGGCTTGCAATCCTGGGGGTCCAGAGTCCAGGGAGAGCAGAAGAGGCAGAAGAGGGCCTTGGCTTCCCTTGGGCTTTTCAAACCCAGGCTAGCAGGTTCCCCCAGGGCCCTCACCCTCAGCAGGAATAACAAAGGTGTGAGAGGAGGGTGCTCTGCAGAGTCAGCCTCAAGTAGCTCCCGGTAGGCTGCCCTGGTGTTGGCGCCCAGGCAGGGCTAATCCTGCCAGCCCAGAGGTGTTGATCATCCCCACCTACCCTGCCGCTGGGAGGAGACAGCAGCCCTGCCACTGGGGTGAGTTATCTCATTAGTCCATGCACCACCCACAGCCTCCAAGCGGCAGGGTGACCACATTGTTTTGATAAATCTCTATGGGATAGAGCAGTAACTGGTAACCTTACTGACTGCAATTTCTCTCTGGGAATTGGGAGGCCCCAGGGGGCCAAGTGAGGCATCCTGAGGCCACCCCAGGAAACTTAGGGCTGTGACAGATTAAGCATCTCTTCTCTCGCAAGAGAGACCGGATGCTTTTTCTGACCCCAGCCAAAGCCTGGTCTCAGGGCAAAGCTCCGTCCATTCCTCCGCACCTCCCCTCCCCCACTCCATACCTCCCACTGCCTCCTGGGACCTTCCTTGCAGGGGCGAAGGAGGCGGGCAGAGCAGAAACCCCCATCCCTAGCCTCTGGTTTTCCTGCTTCAGGAAGGCATCTGATTCCCAGAGCCAAGAATCATCTCTACTGCCAGGATTCATCCATTCAACAGAACACCTACACAAATATCTATACCCCGTGTATGTGTTATGGACACATACTCCCTGTGTTTTTACACACTTCACATTACGGTAATAACCCCTCCTTACACGTGTAGAGCGCAGTATGTGTCACAACGCCCTTTCATGGTCATCATCACGTGGGCACCACAAACGAACCCTGTGAGCCATGGAAACCAGGGGTTATTATCCCCAGTGTTGGGATGAGAGAACAGAAGCCCAGAAAGGTTAAGGGATTTTCCTAAATCTACCCAGTTGGTAGGTGGTGGGTCTCAAATCTCCCGTTTCTGACTCCAAATACAGTGCTCCCTACAGCACCCCTTGGAGCATATGCCCCACCACCCAAGCCGCCAACCCCTTCTGTGTCCCCTGTGGTGCCCCATAGGCCCATGCACGGCTCCCCAGCAGTGTGCATGCCAGCACGTGCACTTCGTTCCCTCACAGACACGTGCAGTCCCCTGCCCATGAGCCCGCCCTCCTGCTAACACATAGCACCCGGAGCCAGCAGAGTTTCTTCATTCCCTGAGTCCTCCCAAAACGGATGACCACCTAATAGCCCTGACCTGTTGCTTCACTGCACACTGGCCTCCTGATGGACATCGTTCATCCATCCTTTCAGTCAATAACTGTATGCTGGTCGCGCCTCGCCCTCTCTGCTCGCCCACCACTCCTGCCCTGACTAGTGAGAAGGAATCCTCTTCCAGAAGAAGCAAGGGGCCCGGCCACTACCCAGGAGGGATGGAGAAGTCTGCCCCGCAGGGAAGGGGTGAGCCAGAGCTCCTCCAAACCGCAGCACCCGCTGTCCTGGCAGCTGGGTTTGGGGAAAACAGCTCTCGATTTGTGTTCAGGAGACCCAGGTGGGAGTACCGTCTCTTCCACTCACCGGACGAGTCTCTGCCCAAGCCAGCGTCCTCGTCCGTGAAACAGGAAGAGCAGCACACGCTTCCTAGGCCGGTGATGACACTTAAGAGAGGGATGTACATCAAGGGAAAGTGCCAAGCCCAGAGCCTGGCACACAGGCACCCACTGATTCATGCCCCTTGGGGCGTCCTTCCTGCTGAGTTTGTAAAACAACTGAAGACAAGTCACCGGCTAAGCCTGGATCCCTCTCCCAACCCGGGTGGACGCTGCCCGGGAGGGGTCCCCAAGGGTGCTGGAGACGGGAAGTTCACAGCTGCAGGTCCCTGGACAGAGGTCTCCTTTCTCAAAGGCCCCAGGTCTGGAAACCTCTAAGACCCAGGGGACTGAGCTCACCTCCAGACAGGCAGAGGCAGAGCCACTCAGGGAAGCTCAGTTCTCCAACTTCCCTGTCCGCAGAGGGGCAGGGTGCCATGCTGCCGCCACTGCCCTACTGCATTACCTCTGGTCTGAATGTTGGCCCCTGGGACTCTCATGTGGTTCCATCCCGGAACCAGTGGGCTCTGTCGTTAGTAATTTCTCCTCCGAGCGAGGGTAGCATTTCTGCTCCAATCACCTAAGGAAGAGGCAGGTCTTGGTCAGGGAAGGACAGTGGGAGGCCAGCCTCAGGCTGGCTGGAGATGGAGTGTCCGTGTCCCTCCTTCTCCCTGGGCCCTGCTGCCCTGGGTCTCTTCGTGTTTCACGAGCTCCTGGGCAGCGTGAGGTCATCCCCTGCTGCGGGCCTCTCCCTTAAGATGAGTCAGCCAGAGTGTACGCTCCAGATTGCCCAGCTTGTGTCACCATCTGTTGATTTCCCTTTTGCTAGCTCCAAACCATCAGTCTGGTTTTGATATGCCCGCCTGTAGCTGGGGAACCGAGACAAGGACCAAAGTGGCCTAACCGGGGAGCAGAGGCCCAAACCTTGGCAGCGGGGGCTAGAGGGGGAAGAGACCCCAGGGTGCGGGAGACCTCAGGACAGGACTCCAGGCTAGAGATCCAGCTGTCTCAGCTCATTGGAAGCGCCCCTTTACTGTAGGATTCATTCAGTCGACACATGTTCACTGAGCATCTACTGTGTGCCAGCACGTTCTGGAGCTGGGATACTAAAATAACTCCTTCTCTCAACGAGAAACGCCATGTGCTCTGAAGACACGAAGGCAGGGTAAGGAATTGGGCAGGGACGTGGCACTCAGCCTAATTTTGATAGAGGCGTCAGGCAAGGCCTCTCCAAGGGGTTGGCATTTGAGCAGAGATCTGAACAGGGCCAGGGGTGAGTCAAGGAAAGAGCATTCCAGGCACAGAAGGAATGGTCACAGCAAAGGCCCTGGGATAGAAATGAGCACATGCACACTGATTTGAAAACCATTGTAGTAGGTGATCTTCCAGGGGTCTTGCTGCTCTGATTTCTTTAAGCTAGGAATTTATAACTTGCTGGGAGGGAAGGACCTTAAAGAGGATCAATTTATCTCCCTCACTTAATACTTAAATCTTCTATGCAATATCTCAGCCAAGTGCTTCTTCAGCCTCTACTGAATTACCCCTGATGACAGGAAACTCACTACCTCACAAAGACACATTCCAATTCTTTATAATCTTGACCTTTAACATTTTAACTGTGGTAAAATACATATAATGTAAAATTTACAATCTTAACCATTTTAAGTGTTAAGTCCAGTAACGTTTCAGCTCAGTTTAAGTTCATTGTCATCTTGCAAAACTGAACCTCTAGACACATTAACAACTCCCCATTCTGCTGTCCCTCTAGCCCTTGGCAACCACCATTCTACTTTTTGTTTCTAAGAATTTCACAATTCTAAGTACCTCTTATAAGTGGAATCAATCACACAGTGTTTGTCCTTTTGTGTCTGGCTTATTTCACTTAGTATAATGTCCTCAAGGTTCATCCATGTTACAGCATGTGACAGAATTCTTTTCCTTTTTAAGGCTGAATAATATTCCATTGTATCTATATACCACGTTTTCTTTATCTATTCATCTATCAATAGACACTTGGGTTGCTTCCATCTCTTGGCTATTGTGAATAATGCTGCTATGACCATGGGTGAACAGACATCTTTTCGACAACCTGCTTTCAATTATTTTGGGTATATGCCCAGAAGTGGATTTGCTGGGTCATATGGTAATTCTATTTTTAATTTTTTGAGGAACTGCCATACTATTTAATCTTGACTTCTGAATGTTCAAAAGTAGTTATTTTTAAAAGTCTAATTGAATATAGTAGAAACAGTGATTAGCAGTGGCAAGAGGTTTGCCAGATGTACAAACACTCAGAAATGGGAGTGGGCTAATCTGGGAAGGCTTCCTGGAAGAGGTAAATTTAGAGCTGAGATCTGGCTTTTCTGAGTTGCACATGGGGATAAAACAAACTTAGAGTTGGGGACGTTTCTTTCATTCATTTATTCATTCATTTACTCATTCATTCATTCTAGAAATATTGATCAAGGGCCTATTTTTGTGATAGGCACTGTTTTCACGCTGAGTGAAATGGGAAAACATTGAGGGGTTTTGAGCAAAGGAGCCACATGGTCTGACTTAGGTTTTGAAGCATCACTCTGGCTGCCTCCTAGGAATAGACAGAGGAGGGGCAGGGCCAGTTAGGAAGCTGCTGTCCCTGCTTCACTCAGTAATTCCCTTCCTTTGCTCTACAGGTTGAAGGGGGATCTATCCAGGTCACACCTTCCAGCAAACCCTTCCTCCCCTCTCCTCTGCCCGGGACCCTCTCCCCACCAACTCACCCTCACACCTCCCTGAGGGCAGGGAGAGGGCCCCACCTTTGCAGAAGACAGATTTTTCTCTCCCAGCCCTCCGGGGCCACCAGGAGCCCCAAGGTTTCTGTCCATTACCTCTCCGGGACTCCTGCAGCTCTGGGGAGTCTCCAAGGCCCAACTCTCTGACCTCTTAGAAGAAGACAGAAAAGATGTTCTCGGCTCACTTAGCATGTGTGTGCAAGGCCTCTGAATTGCCAAGGAGGGCCTCCTTTACTTCCAAGCTACCGAGAGGAAGGGGGAGACTTTGCAGGGAGCCTGGCCACAGGGAGGGGTGGAGAGCCCCCCAGCGGTGTGCAGCCCACCATCTCCCTGAGATGGAGCCACTTGTGATGACATTTAACCAGTGCCACCCACGTGCTGGAGACTTTCCCATGCAGTAACTCATCTTTCATCTAATTCTCCCAACAACTCTGTGACCTGAGTCCTAGTTATTATCTCCGTTTTCCTGAAGGAGAAATGGAACTCAGAGAAGTCTGGTGTGATCACAGAGACATCCATTTCCAGAGTGAAGGGGACTTAGTTTTTCTAATCCAGTTGTTCTCCACCCTGGCTTCACATTACATCACCCAAAAAGCTTTTGTAAAATACCAGGGACTTCCCTGATGGTGCAGTGGTTAAGAATCCGCCTGCCAATGCAGGGGACATGGGTTCGATTCCTAGTCCGGGAAGATCCCACATGCGGTGGAGCAACAAAGCCCGCGAGCCGCAACTACTGAGCGCGTGCGCCTAGAGCCGGTGCTCTGCAACAAGAGAAGCCACTGCCATGAGAAGCCCGCGCACCGCAACAAAAGAGTAGCCCCCGCTCGCCACAACTACAGAAAGCCCACGCACAGCAACGAAGACCCAACGCAGCCAAAAATAAATAAATTTTAAAAAAATACCAATTTCCAGGGCACACACCCAGAGATTCTGAGTTTAATTTTAAAAACTTCTTAGGTGATTCTAATGTACAAACACAGTTAAAAACACATACCTCCTCCACCCCTTCCCTCTTTGTATGGGTGGGAAAACAGGGCCTGAGAGAGGACTGGACTTCCCTAGGGTCACCCTGTATCCGTTTCCCAAGGCTGCCTTAACAAATTACCGCAAACTTGTGGCTTAAAGCAACAGAGATTTACTGTGTCATAGTTCTGGAGGCCAGAAGTCCAAAGTCAAGGTGTGGGCAGGGCCCTGCTCCCTCTGCAGGCTCTAGGGGAGGATCCCGCCTTGCCTCTTGCCTGGCTTCTGGGGTCGCTGGCAATCCTTAACTTTTCTTTGCTTGTAGATACATTACTCCAATCTCCGCCTCCATCTTCGCATGGCCTCCTCCCTGTGCGTGTGCACCTGTGTCCAAATTTCCCTCTTCTTATAAGGACACCAGTCAGATTGGATTTAGGATCGACCTTAATCCAGTATGACCTCGTTTTAACCTGATTCTATTTGTATTCACAGGGTCTGGGAGGACATTAACTTGGGGGGACACTATTTAACCCAGTATATACCCCATCATTAGTGGCAGAGCTAGGGCTCCAACTCAGCCTCCTAAGTCCCAGTCCTGGGCTTGTCCCCCAGTGCTGGGTGGCTCGACCCCTCTTCATCCTCCTCTTCTCACTAATGGCTTCCATCGAGCCCCCTCCCCACCCTTCACCAGCCCTCAACACTGAAGGCCAAAGCTTTCCTGGTGGAAGAACGTTCTCTTCTAACTGTGGAATCCCAGAGGGCGGATACCAAGTTCAAGACTTCTCCATGGAGCCCAGTTCAGTACCTAGGGATGCTCCACAAAGACTCGATAAATGGAGCCAAACTGAATTGAATGGATGACTGCTCCTTCGTGAGGAAGTGAGGACCCCATCAACAGAAGCAATCAGGCAGAGGCCAGCTGAGCGTGTGTCCCTATAAAAGTGCTCTTGTTCTAGGAGAGTCAGCCTAGCACAGAGCTTTGGAAGAGCATAGGAAGTAGACTAATGGTCCAGGCTCTACCACTTATTAGTTGTGTGACTGTGAGTGGGTTATTTAACCTCTCTGTGCTTTGGTTAGTAACAACAATAATAACCATTTCAAAGGGGTGTGGGGATTAAATGAGATAATGTTCCTAAAGCCCTTGGCCTAACATGTAATGGATGCTCAATAAATATTTAGCTTTAAAAAAAAGGAGAGCTGTGCTCCAGATCACCAGGAAAAAGGATAGTGAAGCAGGCTGGAGTATTCGAGTAATAATAAAAACAAGAAAAGGATTCATTAACCATGCACAGCACTTCTCAGGTCGCAGGCGTGTTTCAGATGACACTGCAGACTTTGAGATGCACCAGTCAGGCAGCGCCAGTGGCAGAGTCTACATTTAGACACAGTTCCATATCCTGGTCCTAGAGCCTAAAACAAAGTGATCCTCCATGGGCACACTGTTGGCATTTGGGGTAGAATAGTTGTTGTTACTCTAACCTGACCACTAAATGCCATTGGTACCCCCAAGTTATGGTGTCAACCAAAAATGCTCCCAGACGCGCATGTCCAAACGGCCTCGGGCTGGGGGCTGGACGTGGTGGTCCTGGCTGCCACTTTGTCCTCCTCCAGGTGGATGCAGCCTGCCCCGAGGAGGAGGAAACAAGATGTGGGATAATGGCTCCTCTACCCAGTCCAAGGATAGCTGGTCCCACTTGGGCTGCGGAGGATGGGCTGCCAGACTGTCAGGGCGCCCCGCTGGAGCCCTGGCCCTTCTGAACCCCCCACCAGCTATCTGTGCCTCCTCCGCTCTCCACACCGTATGCCTCTCACTCCACGGGCCCCCTTCTCCTTCCTTCCCCAGCAGGGATCATCTGATTCTCGTCAAACATGCAGAACTGATGTTGCACAAGCCCCCCCAGTGGGGATTAACA